AAAAGTTGTGATAATTTCTATATAATGAAACTACAATGTATATAAAATCCTGTAAGTGTGCAGAAAACAGGGAAAATAATATATTTTTAGCACCTTACCATGAATAATTTAGCTTTTTTTCCTTCAAGTCCAAATTTTTAGTTGTACCAAGTAGAAAAATGGACAAAGACTATCATAAAGGCTCATCTTGCCCTTTTTATTTTTTAAAAATATTGTTCTTTATTGATATTAGAGAGAACATCAATTGGGTGCCTCCTACAAGCCCCCTACTGGGGATTTAGCCCACAACCTGGGCATGTGCCCTGACCTCTCAGTGCATGGGTCGACACTCAACCACTGAGCCATACCAGCTGAGCCATTTGACCTTTTTAATAATCTTTCTTACTAAATCTATGTTCAACATCACTATCCTTCTCAAGATAACAATCCAAGCACACATTGGCCCTCAAGACAAAATTTTTTTTGCTATCTTTGCTAATGTAGATTAAATTCTGATGACATATATATATTTGTGTATATATGTATATGTGTGGTCTGTATGTATGTTTATATTTTAGAATTCCTCAAGTATTTATTTATAAGTATACATTTGATTAAAACGTTTTATTTTTTATCACCATTTATCCCCTCTATGTCCTCTACTACCTCCATCCACCTTCCCTCCCCTCTGCACTCACCACACTATTGTCCATGTCCATGAGTTTTCTCTCTTTTACTCAATCCCTCCACCCCTCAGCTCCTCCTGAGCTGTCTGCCTGCTCTCTATCTGAGTCTGTCTCTATTTTGCTTGGTAGTTCAGTTTGTTCATTAAATTCCACATATAAATAAAATTATACAATCAATTTTTATTTTTAACTACTTTGAATTATTATAAATGTAATATATTTATAATAAATATTTACAGTGTGCCCATGAGACATTTATGCAAAGCTAACAGCAACTTCTAAAACAAGTGACATACTTTTAAAATATTTAATCTGATCAACCTTTTATTAAAGTATAGAATATACATTTTCATATCTTTGAAACTGAAAGTATACACCCTATGAAGCAAAAATGAGTGTAGAGATAAATAAAAACTTTACTTATAAAGTGGAACTTTGCATTCAGTTTCTGTTCATTGGTATGACTATGGGTATTTATAGAATGCTCTAATTATACATAATGTAAGATAACAGCAGTACCTCTTCATTTAAATAACTTCTTTGGGACCGGTTACTTGTTTTTTATGTTAAATTTTGTTTCATTTATCCATAGCTATTTTTTTCTCATGGTGAGTTATATTTTATTGGCATAGCTGTTACATCATTTTTGATTAGCCATTAGTGGTTTAACTCACCATGTGGACTATGAAACTGTTGTTCATAGAATAAATATTAGCATCATTTATTTCCTATGACATTTTTACAAGAGAAACAGTGGTGTTAACATAATTACAAGATAGTCTGGTGCTGTTAATTCAACAAAGTTCATTATGATTTCACTGGAGTTCTGTGGATTATGATGATTACCAATTAATTTATGCAATGTAATGAGTTCTTCATTTTGATTATCAGGAATTAAAAATATGTCCACATTATAGCTTTGTGTTTTTCAGAGATTCGGTCATCCTTTGTTTTTCTATACATAGTGGCAGTGAAATCAGGTTTTAGATATGATGCCTTCACATTTTCATTAAGAATAACAGAACTAGAAAGAAATTGCTGGCATAAAAATTATCTAATGCAAAATATGATGACATCATTATTATTATTTTCATCATTTGTGTTACCTGTGAATGAGTATATTTTTTGATAGAATGCTATGTTTTATTTTTTGTATGTATATATTTTTACATGTTTATTTTCTCTACTATATTAACCTGAGCACCCTAATATTTTGCTTTTAGTGAATCTCTCTCTACATATTACATAATAATCACCAACATAATATTAAAAGTTTTAGATATTATATTTCTACTGTATAATGAAATCATAATTTGTTTGTAATTTTTTGACATCTAAGCTGATGTATAGACACAAATATTTTGGTGTCTTTTTTTTCCACTAATACAATATGTTTTAGATTTTTTAAACAAAAGTTATCATAAAACACTACTTTAAACTAACAGTAAAATAAAATCACTTTTACTTTCATTTTAATTCCATGCATTTTTTTAGAAAGTCTCACAAAGCACATAATGTTCAAATTGTTATGACCTTTCAATCTTAAAATATTTTGTTTTGATTACAGGTTCTGTGTACCTTTAAAATTATTAGTAATTGTTTATGAATGCAAAATATATTATGTTTAACATTCTACTACTAATTTTTTTATAGAGACTGATTACATACTTTCTGATAAGTGTGAATCCTGTGTATTTCCAAATGACTGCTGTTTAGATTGTCTTTTGCTCTTCTTGCCTCATTTCCTCTTTTTCAGCATTTCTTTCTAATGAGTTTTTGATTTATTTTATTATCAATAACTATTAAATAGCTTCCTATAATTTGACTCCCATTGGAAGTCAACATAAACAGAGTTGTTTGTAAGTAAGTTTCACATATTCTTTGGTTCTTTTTACCATACAATTATTTGCAAAGACTTTCTTCTTGACAAAAATTTAGTTAGCCTCTCCTTAGTCAATTTTTTTTTTTTTAAATAATTTGGCTTTGGGTCCTGTTTTTAACCTGCTTAATAAAGTTGTAGCAAGAATCCTGCTAAGTCAGTATAACAAAAATTCACCCACTCTTGATATCTCATCACCCTGGTCTGCCTTCAGCAAAAATCCTGTTACGTCAACGTATTAATAATCTCCCTGGCCATAGTGTCTCCTCTTTGTTTTCCACCCACTAAACTTCTCATCCTGCTCAGTGGCTATAAATCCTCACTTATTCTTGTGTCAGAGTTGAGCTAAATCTCTCTTCCAATACAATAGTCCTAATAGGTGGCAGAATAATGTTTTCTTCAACATTATTTAGCTTAATATATATGGGTTAGGGTTGATATTTCTTTTCTTATTAGAAAAAAATTAGCAAACCTCTTACCCTTGTGACCTGAAAATAATGACCACCATGTAAAATTTCATCAGAGAATCTAAAAGCACACTGAACCATGAACTAAATCAAAAGAAAAATGAGCCCTGGCCGGTTTTGCTCAGTGGTTAGAGCGTCGGCCTGCGGTCCTGAGAGACGCGGGTTCGGTTCCCGCTAAGGGCACGTACCTTGGTTGCAGTTTTTCCCCGGCCCTGGTCGGTTGTGCGGGTGGCAGCCACTCGATGTGTTCCCTTCACATCGATGTTTCTCTCTCTCTCTCTGTTCCTCTCTCTCCCTCCCACTCTACCTGAACAAAAAATGGAAAAATGTCCTCGGGTGAGGATAAAAAAAAAAAAAAAAGAAAAGAAAAATGAAAAAGATATATATATAATTAGGACTCAAATATCTGTCAAAATTTTTAATAATCCAATATAGAAAGGGATCTGAAAACCAGTACAATAAAAACAGAAATGTTGTCATTAACATGAATATGAATTACACAGAAAAAATAAGATTATGGTATGCAAACCCATAAAAAGATGTTCAGACTAAGAAACTTATAATTGTCTCCCAATAAACATTCACCCATTTTTCTTAGTGAAAAAGAAACTTGTAGTTGCTTCTGTTGCAGCTATGTGTAACCATTTCACCAGAGTTCTCAAAATATGTGTGCAAGAGCTAGGGAGACATCAGGAAATTCTTTTAAAAGAAGAGGCGTATCTTTCATCATTGTGGTTGCTTTTTCTTTATTGCTCTTTGGAACAGTTATAACATGGAGGCTGCACTAGCTGTTTGGGTCACGAGGTGAAGCTAGAGACAGGAGGCTGGGTCGCAGTCGCTTCTCAGTGCTGCCAAGTCAGCCCTGGGGTCCTGCTTCTCCGCTTCTGTTTCATTTTTAATAGGACTAAAAATAATAAGATTTTAAAAAATCACATTGTGTGATTTAAGCTTCCATTACCTTGGATTTTCTTCTTTTATACACACAAACTTAATTCTATCTGGTACAAATTTATTCACAAATAAATAAAAGCAAATTAAAATATTAATTTTAGTTATCAACTTAGCAAAGCTAAAAAAAGTTGAAACTATTTCTGTCAGGGTGTGAAATCTGACAGAAATATAAATTGGTAAAAATTGATGGAAAATTACTGTGTGACAGTTATCAAAATTCTAAAGATATGTATCCCTTGTTCCAGCAGTTAGACATCTAGGAATTTAATTATTTCTTCTTTGTAGACTTTCTGGATGTCTTCCCAACTCCTTGGTTTATGGATCATTTTCCAGACCTTTAGTCAAAAGGTACACCAAGCTGTAAGAGAAATAGCTATAAAAAATACTGGGTTTCACCCAGCCTTTGTGGCTCAGTGGTTGAGCATCAATGAACCAAGAGGCTGCCAGTTTGATTCCTGGTCAGGGCACATGCCCAGGTTGTAGGCTCAATCCCCAGTGGGGGGCATGCAGGAGGGGATCTATCAATGTTTCTCTCTCATCAATGTTTCTATCTCTCTCTTTGAAAATCAATAAAAAAAATATATTTTTAAAACATACTGGGTTTCAATTGCACCATCATTTATTATAGAAGATAATTTGAGTTCCACAATAAAGGCTGTGGGAAAAATAAAAATAAATGCAAACCCATTTAACAGTAGACAACACTGCATGTTAACAACGCCGAAGAAGAGTTCTGGATACTGCTGTGGAAGGAATTCTGAGAAAGACATTTAAAACAGGTGTACCGCCCTGGCCAGTTTGGCTCAGCGGTTAGAGCGTCGGCCTGCGGTCCGGAGAGACCCGGGTTCGGTTCCCGCTAAGGGCACGTACTTCGGTTGCAGTTTGTCCCCGGCCCTGGTTGGTCGTGCGGTTCACGTCGATGTTTCTCTCTCTCTCTCCTTCCTCTCTCTCCCTCCCACTCTGTCTGTACAAAAAATGGAAAATATCCTCGGCTGAGGATAAAAAAATAAAATTAAATAAATAAATAAAACAGGTGTACCAACGCAGACACCCTGGGGGTCACTCTCCCTGGGCTCTGTCCCGCTGGTGTCGGGGAGCACGGGGCTCTGCTCGATGATGTGCAGTCCTTTTCCACATGGTTGGAGAGAAAATCGGGCCTTGAGTCTCAGCCTTCATATTCCTACAGCTTCTCAGAGTCCCGTGGACAATGACTAAGGAGAAAACCATGCAGAAAATATCTAGGGAAAAAAAAATAAAATAAAATAAAAATAAAAACAGGTGTGTGAGCTTCTTCCAATCCTTGAATGCCTTAGATAATTTTGATTTCACCCGCCTCCTCCTCCATATATACTGAGGATTTTCTAGCTAGAGATAACCTTGAAGCTGTTAGGATACCCTCAGTTTTTATCAGTAAGTAATTTTAGTAGGATACACATAATATATCCTGAAAATAAGCTACTTACCACTAGACTAACATGTACTGTACATAGTACTTGATTGCCATTCCTAGATCCAGTGTCTCCCATTGTGAAGAGGAGATGTATAGGAAGCTAAGCCTGATGGTTTGGGGAATTCCAGGAGACTGATGCTGTATTAGTCATCACAATGGGCGAAATATATAAATCATGCAAGTGTGTGTGACAGTTCAGCCTTTAGTGGTAATTCAATAGCCAAGATATGTTAGTGCACATAAAGCAAATTGGAGAATACATTGCTTATATAAAAGAAAATATATCTATCTCCTCTTGTATAAAGAGGAAAGATTACATTTCTGAATGAATACACAGGAAATTGTTAACTGTGAGGAATAAAGCTAAAGACTGTTTTATGTACTAAATTATTTTCCCATATGCAATATTAATTTTTATTTGCACTCAGAAGTAAAACAAGAAAGTAAACATAATTTTTTGAACTTCATGTGAATATATGCTGTTCATACAACTATTATTTGCTTCAAGTTCTATGAAGGTTTAGTCATTAAATATGGTTAGATAAATTAAATAGGTTGGTGAGGAAATTCAATTTCCAAATCTAAGCTGACTCAATAAAACTTAAATATTATTGTATCAAGACTGAGAATTACATTAGAATAAACCTATTAAAGTAGAAACACATAGGAAAGTTTCCTTAAAAAACAATAGGATTTAATCACCATTACCATGATAAGTAAGATTAAGTTGAAATATGGCATGACAAACCATTTGAACAAATCTAGTTACCGTTTATATTTTTAGTGTTTTTAAGGTAGTTGGCATATAAAATTCTGTTCCTTCTTTCTTTGTTTTTTAAGTTTTGTAATACTTGGTAGGTCAGACTTTTGTAGTCTTAAAGGGTTTTTTCCTTAAATTCCAAGGCTCCTGTTTTCTCTAGTTTCATGAGGTTGACATTTATAGCCTTTGGTCTCAACTTTTCATAAAAGCTTATTTAAAACATTTGGACCTTATATATTTTAAGTTTCCACAGTGTTATCTTATATGAAGTTATATCATTTGGAAGGGATTAGAGGAAGGGAGTTTTCAGTTGTATCCTTCTGTATTTTTTACCTTTTTCCAAAAGATTTTTTTAGTTTTTACTATTTTATTTTTAAAAAGTTAGAAATACATCTCAAGGCATTAAATTATCATACAAATAAATTCAGACAAAACCTAGTTCTAATGAAGAGTATATTTTCCTTTTTATTTCTTCCTTTCAAGAGTGTAGGTAAATACTATTTGGGGAGAAGATTTCTGAAAATAACTCAGAGGTGAATGAATTAGTTTACATGATAAATCTCATTTTATGTACAGCTACTGAAATTAAGCATCAAAAAGTAGAATTGCGCGATTCAGCAAAGATCTGGAATAAAACTAATACATTAGATAAAATCTTCATATTCTAATCCTCGCTCAACTGTATATTTTCAGTGTGAGGAAAATGCCTAATGCTTTGAATTCTCATTTTTCAGTCTTACATAAAAACAATGCCTACATAACAAGCTAAGAAAGAAATTTGGAAGAAATAACAGATGACAATACACTTCTTTACACATTAAGTTTATAAATTTGATGATGAGGATAAAAAATAATAGAAGATTAAGAAACATATGTAAGGAGAATTAATTAAAAACTCCAACAATTGTGATAATAATTTTATTTAAAATTGCCTAATTTACCATAGACAATTCTTTTTTTTTTTAATTCTCACCGTAGGACATTTCTCCATTTTTTTGTTCAGATAGAGTGGGAGGGAGAGAGAGGAAGAGAGAGAGAGAGGGGAACATCGACATGAAAGGGACACATCAAGTGGCTGCCACCCGCATGACCAACCAGGGCTGGGGACAAACTGCAACCGAGGTATGTGCCACTAGCGGAACCAAACCCGGGTCTCTGTGGACCACAGGCCGATGCTCTAACTGCTGAGCCAAACCGTCCAGGGCAACAATTCTTTTCTTAAAATAAAATTTAGTTATATCATGAGAGAAAAATTAGTTGGATACTTTTTCTACTGCATAAACAATGCTTTATCTAGAACTGAAAGAATTTTATTCTAGTCTATGGCAAAGTGTAAAGGTTTCACAAAAATATGCTTCCTTGTAAGATTTGAATTGAGTTTTTAAGCATAACATGATTTAAAATATCCATTGGTGAGAAGTATGACTTTCCATCCTAAATAATATTTCATCTTATTACATCTGCTTTATCAACCAAGATGAAACACTTACGACTTGCAAGGCCCTAGAGGTACTTTTGTATGTTCTGAAATTAAGTTCTTATATCAGCTGTATGATATAGCTGATAGATTTTCCAGAAATGGCAGCCTAGTCAGATTTGACAATAGGTAGTTTTATGAGTTCACTTTATTGTCTTCATATAAATGTACTCAACATTAAGAAAATAGATATCTACAAGGCATCATTTTAAGCTTCAATGCACTTGGAATTCAACGGAGAAGATTGGAAATATGGTCACTAAACTAAATAAGACACCAGAGTACGAAAATCATATGAGAAATATATATTAAAGTAGAATTAATATTTTGAATATTTTAACAATGTCTGCATATATTTTTACATCAAACTTTTAGAAGGGCCATTCTTTTGAAGAATTGCTCTGTGACTAATTCAGAATAGTAGAGTGAATATATTCTGTTAATATTTTTATTGTATGTGATTAGATTCTTAGCAAATGTCAAATATTAATTTTTAGCACACACTAAATTATGCATTTGCTGAGAAAATTGTGTAAATAAAATTATAAACAGTTACCAAAATTATTAAACAAGCATCAACATGTTTAATGTAAATATTAATAACTATAAAATGAGCACAAATATAATTAATATAATTTTCTTATTTATATTTGTTTTTACTATAATTATAAAGATTGTTTTAAAAATTAATATTTAATTAATCATTTTTATTAATTCATTAATTTTTGCTTTGGTATTTTATGAGATTCTCAACTATAATGTTCTTTATTACAGTTAATCTAAATAGTTTTGTTTATAATAGTGGTTATATTATTTTTGAATTTTGGCATCATGTTTTCATGTCTATGGATGTTATAGGTGTTTTATTTCTATGCAAATTAACATAATGCATATGCATAGCTAAATTATTAGTAAATCTATCAATATATTTTATGTTTTAACTAAATAGATAATCTATTTCAATCTCAAATAAATTAGGATTTGGTTAATGACCCTAAAGTTTTGAAATGAAAAACAAAGTAGAATTAATAAATGTGTTTCCCAGCTGTGTATAGAAAATATGCTTTATTAATGATTTATCTGTCTGGGATACAGCAATTTAAAACTCCAGGAAAATATGCATTTTTTTTTTTGAGACACAACTATTAATTCTCAAAGCAAAAAACCATAGTATTTTAATTAGCTTTTATTTATTGTGTTCAATATGGCAATAAAAATCAGAAGTAACTTTAATATGTCATTCTTCCCAGCATCCTGCTACAACTAACTACTTGAATATTTGTAAAATCTATTGCACAGGGCATGGTACTCTACACTTAGACACTGTTTTATGTAAATTTAATACACTATAACAAACTGTGAAATATAAAAATACTTTCCTTTTTCTGAGAAGAGAGAAAACATTTCTTTGGAGTTATTTCTTCAGTTCTCTTCTTAAGATTTCAAATCTGTAATTGGGCAAGCCAACTTTTTGTATTGTAATCATTTTATTATTTTATAAATAACATTAGCTTTCAGTTTTCAGTATTATCTTTTCATTTTCTTCCTCTTGTTGTTATTCTATATTTTTCAGTCTTCCCATCTCTTGTATCAGTGTCAACTCCTTAGTCTCATTTAATTTCACATACTTACTTCATGTGTCTTCATTTGCTGTTGCTGACGTTTTTGCCAGTATCTGTTCCTCTCCTGTATTCTTAAGTCTCTCACTAACATATATTCACTTATGTTCTGCTAGGCAGTGATGACAATGAACCTAACAAACGTCATGAAAAGTACTTTCAAAATAAATTCCTTCAAGGTTAATTCCCATGCATATGTATATAAGGCATTATCTAAGGCTTCACTTGGTTGCAGGGCTTTGTTAAAATCTTTCCAATTTTATGGCAAGAGTGGCTCGATAGCATTTTATCCTGATAAAGAACCATCCATAGTGAATTCAAAGCATCCCAACATAAAACTTCCTTCGAGGTTCTCCACAAGTATGCATTAATGAGCTGGTAGTTCAATTAGTCCATGTTGTGTCTACACTAAGATTTCAGTTTTTCATTTGTTAAACTGAAAGTCACAGGACTATTATGACAATTAGAAGAAATAACTTATGTAAAATAGATAAAATAACTTATGTAAAATAGGTTGGCATACTTCACGCTCAATAAATGTTTCTCTCTCCAAATCAATTTTCCTAATAAAGAAAAGAGCCAGTCACTCAGTCTTACCAAGTATTATAGGTATTTACTTTATAGGAAACTGCCCAGGACAAAATTAATTCTCAAAAAATTATTTATCTGAATGTGTTTACATTTTTTTCCCTGACAGTTAAATGTTTCATATGCATTGAATAGTTACAGCACAAAAAACTTTAGACATATAAATTCCACTCATTGTGGCAGCCACTGAATGTGGCACTCAGATCTTCCACCAAGAGAGAACTTGCACCCTGAGGGGTAGGAGGAGCGTTAGAGCGCGGTCCAGTGCACCTGAGTGTGGCAGGGTTGAGTCTGTCAGGGCACATACCCAGGTTACAGGTTCTGTCCCTGGTCAGGGCGGGTTCAA